TATACATGATTATCTATATTTTCACCAACTTATAGCTATTAATATTGTTCATAAAGTCATGTGCACATACGTGATCCATTACTCGTTTAGTGGTTTAACACTATAATGCTTATGAATACGTTCACATACATCTCACAAACACACATACACATATACCACAACTCATTCATGTATATAAATATACATATAAAAACATAATCCATCACAAGTTGGTGAAAAATATATGCATTACAATGTTAAACTGTGAAACGAGTACTTGATCCCGAAGGGGCACACGAATTTATGAAGGATATTAATAGCTATAAGTTGGTGAAAATATAGATAATCATGTATAGTAGAGGTGTGAAAAATCGAATCGAAAAAAAAACGACGTTTGCTGCCCGAAAAATCCTAAATAAGAAAAATTCGTAGCTAATTACCTACAGATTAGCTACGGAATTCTACCGGAAAGCATATTCCGTAGCTAATCCGTAGGTAATGAGTATCTGTGGGTATTCCGTAGCGATTCTGTAGCTAATTAACTACGGAATTGCTACAGACTAGCATCCGTAGCTATTCGGTAGCTATTCTGTTACTAAACTAGGGCGTCCCATTCTGTAGCTGATCCGTAGCGATTCCGTAGCTAATTAGCTACGGAAATTTTCCGTAGCTATTTTCTGTAGGAAAACCCCATGTTTTCTAGTAGTGCAAGAGCGATGGGAGGTTGTGTGTTGGTCTTGTCTGTTCTATGTCATGCTTGTGATATGAGGACCATGTTTTTTTTAATTGCAAGCATTGACTTAGTACATATGACCAAGTATATAAAGAAGAGTATCATGCAAAAACTAGCTAGTTTTTCTACTATTTTCTCCTCCTTCTTGGCTGCAAAAACCGAGAGCACCTTTGAGCTCTCCCTTCTCTTCTCTTGCCTTGAGTAGTGTAGAGTTTAAGGGTTCATAAGTTGCTTCTCCTTCAGGTTTAGTTAGTATAAGTCTTAATGGGTTAAGAACAACTTAATACAAGTGAAGACTAACATGTTTTAGTGGTTTACACTTGCTTGGTGGATACCTTTAGAGAACTTCTCATTTAGAGTTTCATGCATCACTTCATCAACTTCCATCTCCCATGAGAATTAAAGACTTCAAATGTTGTAATAGTTTGTTTCTATGATTGATTTAATATTTCCATGATTGCAAAATGATCCTTGGTGAGTTACAATGGTTTTAAGTTTATTGAAATTTTAAAGTGTTTCTATTGTTAATCTCGTAGTTATGACTATATAATTAGACTAATTTTTGAATAAAACCTTACAATTGGTATCAAACCTATTTTTGCAACCTTGGTTGGATTATTAATATTATTTGGAATAATCTTTGTTTTTAAAAAACACAGATGATTTTCTACTTGCAAAAAAATTCATACATATTTTCTAGACAAAATCGCAAAAATGATCTTGTGGTTGCCAAACTTATGTGGTTTTGGTCCAAAAATATTTTATGGCGCAAAAGTGGCCAATTTTGGATACCCTGTGTTTTTGTTCAAAAAATGTTAACTTTAACAGTTTGGTTGTCAACTTTTTTAAAATGACAATTTTACCCTTAGGGACCATTTCTGCAACCAAACTACAATGATTATTTCTACATCTCTTCTTTTTTATTTTATTTAATTATTATACATTAATTCTTTTAATTAAATATTTTTTTTATTTTGATTGGATTACTTTTTTTAGTGTATAACTATATATTAATAAATATTATTTTTAATATATAATATTTATATATTAATAAATATTACTTTATTGGATTATTAATTACATTTAGTTCTACAATATCTATGATATCTTTATAATTGTTATTTTATGTTACAAAAGTTTACATGCATATTTTGTCACCAAAGTTGTCTTCAAAAAACAAATTATTGTTTCATATATATATATATATATATATATATATATATATATATATATATATATATATATATATATATATATATATATATAGGGTGAGGTTCAATAGAGAACCATAATTAACAAAGGAACTAATCTTTTTGTCAACTTTTACAACTTATTTTTTATCAAAAAAAAAACTAAAAATACAGAAATTCATAACTTTTTATCCTTTTTCCAATGATATCAAATTTGATTTTTTTTTTATTTTTTTACGTCAAATTCACAATGTGAATCTTTGAAAATTCACAACGTGAATCCGGATTCACACGGTGAATCCGAAAATATTTTTCACATTCACAATGTTAATATATGAATTTAGATATTTTTAGATTTTTTTTTTTCGATAAAGAATAAGCTCTAGAAATTGAAAAAAAGATTTGGTTCCTTGAAGAACCAATAATTATGGTTCTCTATTGAACTTTTCCCTATATATATATATTATATATATATATATATATATATATATATATATATATATATATATGTGTGTGTGTGTGTGTGTGTGTGTGTGTGTGTGTGATGTCCACAAACTGGCCATGGACATCTTATGTTGTTGTCTGTGTTGATTTGTTA